GCTCACCTGAGCAATTTGCTAGGAAAAAGCACATATCAGATCAGAATTGAAAGTTTACTGAGTTAAGGGGGGGGGCTTGAATTTTAACCTCCAAGGGGGTCATGGTTTGAACAAACTAGAATCTACACTACTTGAGAATGATTCCATATAAATATCACTAAGCATGGATTTGAAGTACTTGAAAAGAGGATTTTAAAAGGTTTCGCTATATATACCTATGTTAAACTTTGATCGGGCATTTTAGCCCCACCCTACCCCCAGGGGTCATGAATTGGACAAACTTGAATCTACACTACCTGAGGTTAATTTCAATCTTATTTAATCTTAATTAATCTTTCCTGTCTCAATGGTTCTTGAGAAGAAGATTTTAAAGATTTTTCATATGTATTCCTATGTAAAATTTGATCGGCCATTTTGGCCCCACCCTACCGTCAGGGGTTACTATTTGAACAAACTTGAATCTACACTACCTGAGGATGATTCCACATGAGTTTCATCTTTCCTAGCCCGGTGGTTCTTGAGAAGAAAATTTTTAAAGATTTTTCCTATATACTCCTTTGTAATACTTTGATCGACTATTTTGGCCCCACCCTACCCCCAGGGGTCATGATTTAAAGAAACATGAATCTACATTACCTGAGGATGATTCCACATGAGTTTCATCTTTTCTGGCCCAGTTGTTCTTGAGAAGAAGATTTTTAAAGATTTTTCCTATATATTCCTATGTAAAACTTTGATCGGCCATTTTGGCCCCACCCTAGCCCCGGGGGTCATGATTTGAACAAACTTGAATCTACATTACCTGAGGATGATTCCACATGAGTTTCATCTTTCCTGGCCCAGTGGTTCTCGAGAAGAAGATTTTTAAAGATTTTTCCTATATATTCCTATGTAAAACTTTGATCGGCCATTTTGGCCCCACCCTAGCCCCGGGGGTCATGATTTGAACAAACTTGAATCTACACTACCTGAGGATGATTCCACATTAATTTCATCTTTCCTGGCCCAGTGGTTCTTGAGAAGAAGATTTTTTAAAAATTCCACTTATTTTTCTCTAATTCATAATTATCTCCCCTTGGAAAAAGGCGTGGCCCTTCATTTGAACAAACTTGAATCCCCTTCACCCCAGGGTACTTTGTAGCAAGTTTGGTTGAAATTGGCCCAGTGGTTCCTGAGAAGAAGATGAAAATGTGAAAAGTTTACAACAACAACAACGACGACGACAACGACGACAGACAACGGACAAATTTTGATCAGAAAAGCTCACTTGAGCCTTTGGCTCAGGTGAGCTAAAAAAATGAAGGTTATTCCTGTGTAGACTAGGTCTCCCTCTAGTTCAGCAAATTTTAGGGCTGGAAAAGCTGTCTCACTCTCCGGTCTATCTTTTCCTATATGCGTTCATGCTCCTCAAGGTGGAGATGTGGACGACAAAAGGATCAACTGAAATTGTCCCTGCCTTGACGACAATAATAAGCCTGCAGAACATAACGTCTGTTTATAATTACAAACATTCTCAACTCCTAAGGTTTCTTCTGTACAAACTGGACACTGAAGAGACGTCCATGCATTTTAATGTGTGCCGTGCAAGTGCACATGCAGTTACATGTAGGTTCCTTCCACAATAGTGAGTAATTATGTATTATTCCTGTTGATTTGTTCTTACTCATTTCTGGATACAAACTTTAGATAGTTGCTGTTAAAAATTAAGCGACTTCTAAAAATTTTTACGGAATTCAAATAAGCTATCATGTTGGTCTTTGAAACGGTACTTTTAAAGGTTTTAAGCAAAATAAACACATGACGAGATAGAAAACAAAACTCTCGTGAACTTCACCTAGCTTGGACGTGTCAACTTCCTTTACACATTCTTGTGAGGACATGGTTTTTTGTTATGGTATTAACACATTTAATTGAAATGTTTTTTGGTCTTGACATATATATATGCATTTTAAATAGCAGGTAAAAGTGTAAGCTACTTATAATATGGTGTACGTGTTTTTGATTTTTGAAATATTTTAGTGGGGACTTTCGACAGGTATGTAATGTAACCTAAACTTTAAAACATTTAAAACTAGTTGTATATTTTTATCCATACAATATACACCTTACAGAAAAAAATGATACTTCCTTTCTACTGTAAGTAAGCAATTCTATGTTATAATACTCGGGTCAAAACAATATAAAACTTTTATGTGGACAAATTTAAAAATGTTTTACAAACAAAAAATTGTTATTATCAGAACCTTGATAATGTCTGAATTTTATTTCATACAGAAAACATTTAAACTTGTGTTAACTCACACCAAATATTTCCCAGAAATTTTCAACAATCGAATTGAACCTGCAGTAAGTATCAAATAATGTCCTGTTTTGCTCTGTACTAATGAGCGTAAATTTATGAATAAATAACGTCATCTTGGTCAAATTGACCACTTGTATATACATTATACATAAATAAAAAAAAATAGTTAAGAATAAAAATTTTCGACGTCAAAGAACGAATGCACTTCTGAGTCCCGGTAAAATATGAAAAAATAAAGAATTGAATAAAGCAAAAAAAAAAAAATTGTTATTTCAAATCAATAATTGATATCTAAACTACATGTGTATATGATCAAACAGATTTTAGCACAGAAATTCATGAATATACAAAGAGAAAAGCCATACAGTGTGGTAGGGTCAGCCAACATTTGTGATTTTCTATAGTAAATCAAGAACAGTAATTCATATCTAAGCTTTTAATTTGTTTACTATAAGCCGAAAATTGTACAGACTTGTGCGACTGACAAAAGATGCATTATATATTTATACAACTTGTGTGAAAAAAGTAAGCTTGTACAAGATTAAACTGGTGCTTAAAATATTAACAATGTATATTAAGAAGTTCAATGTTTTTCCTATAGCAAACAAGAGCTATTTACCTGTATGACGTCTTTAATGAACCCACCCGTGGAATGAATTATTTTAAATACTGATAGTCACGTGCGTTCTACCCAAGTAAACAGTCCTCAAAGGTGCCTGTTGCAACCACTATTGAAATAACGACCACTTTTGAAATAACGCCCCTATTGAAAATTAAACAGCGTAAGAAGTATCATTGGGCAAACCCTGCCCTCAGATTTTTCAAGTGTCGATTTACATGTCTCCATCATCGATTTAAATAAACAAAACTCAAAATCTAAACATACATTTGAAAAAAAGATATTAAATTGTTCCTCGGTAACAACGAAAATGACAAATTGTTTATTTGTTGTTTAACTTCTTCGAAATTCTATTATTCATATAGCTAGTCCTTGGTATATGGCAACTTAATCTTTTATTTGGATGGTACTGTTAGAAGGTAGATATTTGTAATTATTCACCTATTTCTTTTGAGTGAAACTTCAAATCTTATTCTGAAAAAGCAAGATGAGGTACAAGTATATAAAACTTTTTTTTATTACTTGTACGAGGATTTTATATAACTTAATTGATGAATACGATAAATAAATCAAGATGTTGCATATCAAAGTTAGAATTTTCTGTTTTACTACTTGTATGAGTATTGTACTAAACTTGAATGACAAATTCGAAAATTAAATCATATTGTGTATAGATAGTTTTCGACTTAGCAAGAGTTATTTCCCGTTTGTCGCCACATTGGAGGTCCAAATGCTCATATTCCTTCATTGTTCAACCAATTTAAAATTTTTATATTTGCTCTTTTAAATAAGGAAACATTATTTTTCTGAAGTATATAAATTTTTAGAAGCCTCCTTTATTTGAAAAAAAAATATTTAATAAAGATTTTCCACCAAATATTTCTGCTACATCCTCTCAAACTTGGTAAGACAAAGAGGGAAAATCACCTAGTTGACCTCCAATATGGCGGCCAATGGGAAGTAACTTTTGCTAAATTTTGGCCAGTCGAAAACTATCTATATTACTTTTTTTGAAAACTTTGACGGTAAATGTTTTTACTACTGATGGATATACTAACATCTGGTATTACTACCACAATTAAGAGATGGTAAACCCTCAAAGCAGAATATTTATAAATCTACAAGGAAAAGTTTGCGAAAAAAAATAAAAACAAAACAAAAAATACTCCACCAAAATTAAACAATGCCTAACAAACAGAAAAAAGGGAAAATTCTCAATCGTATTTGATTAATGAAATAAGATTTACAATGTATATGTAATGTTTTTAAATTTATAACTGATTTCTTTGTGCATGAGAAGAATGATCGATTTGACACAAAATGTTCAATAAGTTTTGTACTTGATTTTTTTTTCATTATGTTTAGTCCTTATTTGGTATTATCTGGTTCTTCCTATGGAGCTATGATCGGACTCGGTATTCTTGTAAGTCTTGTCGTCTGCTTCTGTTGTGTTCAAAAGAAAAATAGACAATGGATTCAGGGCTACGTTATTTTTCCAAGAGTCCCAAGAGGGATTAGAGTTCTTCTCTCATGGTTCAATGTTTTTTTTTCCAACATGAGGAATCATTTCTAACATTATACAATTTTTATCCCAATAAGTCATAATCAAGTCTTATCTTTTAGCTAATTTTTGCATGACAATTATGAAATTTCCATCAAAATAAATATACATATTGTGTAGTTTTGAAAATGATATATAACATTCAACAGCCTTTTTTTTTTTTAATTTTTCAGCTTTTTACGAATATTTTCTTCCAACAGATAACCCCCTTGTGTATCCGCCTGGAAATCAACAGATCCACTAGCCTACATCAGCTGATGCACAGGGATTGTATCATGATGAGACCCATGCTGTATGGAGGTTCACATGTACAACATAGTGTCGACCGAACCTGTGAAATTACAGTCTAATTCTATTGCCGGAGAAAATCTGGAAGGAGTCATCAAGCAAGATAAATCTTTATCATCAAATCAAATTAACCATCATATAAAGATATTCAATTAAAGGTAAGTTTTCAGAACAAAAACAACCCAAGAAATATGATCTTAACAAAATGTTCCAAACACAGAGTAAATATAGTCATCCTTTCTGAGATTGTATCTGTTTTGTTTACATTGTACACATAAGGCACGGCATGTTTATAAAAACAATGTCGATATCGTAACACACGGTATTTTCTTCAAACTGATAAGAAAATTAAAGTTCTACCTTATTCAAACAACGATTTGTGTCACAGAGTGCAAAGCAAAATGGCGGAATGCACCAAACTGATACAAAGTTACTGTGCATTAGTTTTGTTTACAGTTCTTAGTGAGTATAAATTCCGTCACATAGGTATTCTGTTCGACTGTTCATATATATTTAATTATATTTTATATATATTAGAATCGTTATTGTTGCTCAAAACATTGAGAGTTTTCCTTTGTATTTCAATCAGACGTAAACTAATATATTAAGATGTACTTCATATCACATTTTATTACCGAGGACGTTATTTTTTGCGAAGATACGCGAGTCTGTCTTCTCACGAATCTTATTCTCGAGCATATTTTGTAATGTAAAGGATTTAATTACGCAATAAACAAGACTTTCAAGACATTTGCCCCGCTTTTTGATAGCAAATAATTTTTTTGCGTATAAACAGTGAATAGTAAATACAGAATATACTAGTACATATAGTGATAAACGTCCTATTCCTTAGTAAAAATAAAGGTTTGCTCATGATTAAAACTAAGATAGCCTTTGAGTATCATTTCTTTTAAAAATGAAAATATTTATCTATATTCTAAGGACAAGAGTCTACCTTCGTGGTTATGCTTTCAAGATTTGTAAGATAGATAAGAAAGATCACTATTCATTATTTTTAAATTTTTTATTTGTATGGACATTCCTGAAAGCAAACGTTCAGAAAATATTGACGTTTAATTAAATATTTAATGTGATGGTCATTATAGTTTACATGTGACACAAAATTGACTTCAAAGAAGAATCAGTGCTGTTTTATATCAATTCAGCATTTTAATCATAAGTTTATCAAGTTCGTTTTACAGTATAATTCGTACTGATTAAAAAGATGTCAAAATGAAATCCACTAGGATGACCTTTGGGGTTAATATTTAAATGTCTACATTGTACAGCAAATGTTTCCAGCAAATATAGATACATCTACTTTAAAAATATTTCTTTGTAGATGGTATACATTTTTTAAAGGAGGAAGTAACCTGCAATATGGTGGATATTGAAGTTGTTTAAATAGGTGTACCATGCATTCATTGTTCATTACAACTTAAAAACACTTTCATTATATTAACTTAAAGCTGAACACGATTCGTAAAAGTATTGTGTCCGCCATTTTAGTTCTCGAGACTCGCTACCCTGCAGACCCCTATAAATAGGACAAGAATTAGAGACTGTTCAGTTTAATCAGTCGACAGCGGTGTAGACGGACGTATGCTATACAGGACTTGGTAGCGAGAATAATAACGTAATACTTCATCTAATGCAGGGAAGTAAGATACCAAATAAGTTTACAATTATAGGTACATAAGTCAGTGCAGTATACAAACAACATAGATAAACTTAACTGCAATAAAATATAAACAAAGGTAATATAATGCAAGATAACCACAAACCAGCACGAACACGGGTCGCCATTCCACGCCGATACCTGTGACAATAAAGCAGTCAGGTGTAACGAATGCGACGAGTATACCCTAGTATTGAGGTATCGTAGATAATGCTATCAAAACTGGCCTAGCCTATTTACGAGTCTTGTTCAGCTTTAAGGGGGCCGACTATAGTTTTATTGTGTGAAAACTACAATAGCGAAACTCTTCATTTTTATACCATATATAACTTACATTAACTTCAGTGTACATGCAAAGGTTGGGGAAAATCTACCGTCCAGGGTATTTTTGAGGGACCGTCTCAAAATACAGGTACATTTACTATAGGATTATATAGGAAAATGCCAATTTTTAGCACTTTAAAGCAAATTATACAAATTCTACAATAGACATTTTGTTCAAACCATAATATTTTATAAGTAATACTATATGATACAATATATGTAAGAAACACAAAATTCTACCGTCTTGTTAAGGGAGGGGGCATCTCAAAATGCAAAAAAGTAGCAAATTTTACTATTTATTTTATAGAGTACTACAAAATATGACGTAAACAATGGATTCACAAGAAAACATAATAAAAATATTGGAAATATTCCAAACTTTCTATGTTTTACATTCCAAGAGCGTATGTTTGTTACTTTTTCTGTAACAATATTTTTATTACACCTTTCTTTAAGAGCTTCAAATTATCATAACGTCAAAAGACACTGCAGCGACGTCAACCTACCTATCAACTGCAAAATCGGTTAAATAATCAGTTATATCAAATTGAAATTACATTTTTATACCTATAACTTCTCAATTTAGTTTAATTTTAATAATTTAGCGAAAAAAGCATTAAAACAATAAATTCGCTTCATTTTACTATGATGCGCGAAATATAGCGCAATGGAAACTATAGTCGGCCCCTTAAATTGAAAATAAGCAAAACAACAAATCCTTTTGTTTTTAGAAAACGTTGAAGCTTCCTGCTATTACTATTACAATGGTTATGATTCCATCCAATACTGCTACTACAAGTAAGAATTTCTAGGAAAAGTGCAATTCTATCTCGTACACACATAAGAAAGAAATCACTAATGAAATAAAAATGAATAAACAATATATATTATGGCTTCCATAACTTCTACATTTGCTTTATTTAAAAATAAAAAGAACGATGAGACATAAAATTAAAATTTCAATAAGTATTCTTCTTTGATTTTTTTTTCATTAGAATTTTTATTTAGTCCTTATTTGGTAATATTTGGTTCATCCTATGGAGCTGTGATCGGGATCGGCATTCTTGTAAGCCTTATCGTCTGCTTCTGTTGTATACATAAGAAAAATAGACAATGGATCCAGG